TTATTACTCAGCAATATTACAAAAGAAATTATTACTCCCTCACCCTTCATAGACCATATTGTTGCAAATAGAAATAAATGATGGGAGCTTTTCAAATTTACATAATTCCAGGGTTTCTCAACATGGGAGACAAATAGTCGGGAGGCATTTTAGAGACTTATTGACAAATTTTGCAATAACTATACCGCAGTATGAGATAAGCAGAATAATTGTGGAGCAAATTAATTGTTTGCCATAATTACAATCCTTACATCATAGTAATTCTCTATCCTACTTCATGCATTTTCATCAAACTCATTCCAATATTGTCTGGCAAAATTATGGTATTCATATGAATGGACGCGCAATTAACTGGAAGAGGGGATCTATTTGGGAGTAGGGATAAGGAGAGCTTTAGGTTTAATTTGTATGATATTGGAAAAGTCACTTTGTTTGGAAAGAGAAAAGCTATTATTATGGAAAGTGATAAGAGACAATTTGTCGCTCACATCACAAACTAACACAATCAAAGTAGATTGTGTTAGTTCATGAAATCAAGAAAGCGCGTCAAAATACGCGCTGTTGTTGTTAAGGACTTTTTGTGTGGTAAAGAATACAAAATTGCTTGACAACCAATACGCGCTCGTTTTGACGCGCTACTGTGATTTTACAAACTAACAAAATCTACTTTGATTGTGTTCGTTCGTGATGTGAGCGACGAATTGGTAGGGAAATAAACAAGATCATCATGGTAGGGAGTAAACATAAGGTATTATTAACAGGGGAAGTAATGATGTTAATGGGCAAGAAATTTGGAAACCACTAAGAATTGGTCAGGAGAAAGGGAAGCTATGTAATACTGGAAAAATGAAGAACAGTTGTGGATAGGAGAAAAACGAAATAGTTGCTAGAAAAGATATTTGTGGTGAGGGAAAGAGGAGCCAATAGGTTGCAGGGACAAGAAGAAGCTGTATTGGTAGGAAAAAGGGCTAAAGTATTGGTAGGAAAAACAAATCAATACAGTTCTGCAGTTGGTAAAACCAGGAAGATTACAGCACATCGCCATGGTAAAATTTCATAGGCTAACTCAGTGCCAGGTGAGGAATTAGTAAACTAGATAGCTTGCAAGAAGCGTTGATTTGAGTGCAAAAAGAGGAAAGAAGAAGTTTTAATAGGTAAAGGCAGGAATTTTTAATATATAAATAATTTAAAAAGTCAAAAAAATATATAACTTGGTATCACTTAGCCTTGATGAAAGTTGAAATCATAGGTTTTCATAAAATGATAGCTGCACAACATGTCAAAATGTTCTTGACGAATTGGATTTATTGATTTCAATGCATTATTTGACTTAATTTGATACAGTTGGATCGTCATCAGTGAAGTGTTCTAGACTTTACACTGGACGATCTTTAGAGCAAATCATATTCCACTATGTTGTTAAGTAAATGTATAATTTTAACATGCATTTTGATTTTTAAGGTTATTTTTATCTACTAGTATAAATATTACTATAAATAATTATATTATAAAAAAATGATTAGGTTATTAACTAGATTATGCTGTTATTTATGATATAACTACAATTAAATTTTGATTAAAAAAATATTCCTGGAATGTTGATTCCAACTTGTCCACTTTCAAATATATTATATAATATAAAAAAAAGGAGTGGTGGTATCCTGGTTAAAATTACATATGCTAATTTCTCTGGAGTACTAAGTATTTTATAAAAATATGTATATAACAAAAAAACAGTTTTAGTTAATAAAATCTTTTAAGTTGTTAATATTTTTGTAATTATTTATATCTTGTTATCATATTTGTTTATTTTTTTTTTATTAGTTCTGAAACTCCTCTCCTTAAAAGTATACACTACTAAATCAAATTTGTCTAAACTTCAATATCACCTATGAATAATATTCCGATGTTCTAATTTGATATGCTTCTAAAATGACAAGCACAATATTCATTATGTTTCATCATCGATTAATATCTGAAGTGTAAAGAGCAGGAAGCAATTATCATGCATAAAATTATGGCAAATCAATTGCAATAGTGGGGGTTTATGCAATTTTAATTTGACTGAGTTCTATTCCTTAATCTACGTTCAAATTGAGGGACGTGGAGGTGAACAGAGGTCATAGGAAGTGTTAAATAAACTTGTAATTATTCAACTAATTTGATTGCCCACCCCATTCTATTATCTTAGATTTCTTAGATTAAGATGACTATTTTCTGTCTCATAAGCACTAACAACAATTATTTGCTGTAGATGTAGTAAGTCTTTACGGTTTCTAACACTACAGTATGCAAAGTATAACAAATTATTAAAACAGCTCAGTTGGTAGAGCATCTAAACATTAATTTTAGGGTATTAGGTTCAAATCCCAAAGGGGACAGGCAATACATTTTCTTAAAAAATGCTGTTAATTTGAAGGTGTGTTTCTGTTACTGCTGTTTTATTATTCTAATTTAAATAATGAATGAATAAATTAATTGGCTTGGCTAAAAACGATGCTTTAAGAGTATTGGTTAATAATAGATTTTAATCTCAATTATGGTTCTGTATATTATCCATTTGTGGGTAATATTATTATATCAGGTATTTTGCTATAAATAGCTTTGATGCTCAGTGACCCCTACTTGTTTTCATATTTTTAATTTGTTAATGAAATAATCTGAATGGAATTGAAAACAAATTTATTTGAACTAGGTTTGAACTTCAGAGCTAACTTAATAAAGAATCATTTAAGTTTATATAAATACTAACAATATAAAACATGACTGAAAAATAATATGTAATGAAAACCAGAGTTTTTTTTCGATTGAGTGTTCTATTCAGAATAAAGAAAGTTGAAATAAATAATAATAAATCAATGTATAAATTCATTTTTGTATTACTGATGATTTGCAAATGCCCGTTAAAAAAGAAATTTTTAGTGCATATTCCCATCAATGAATTTTGCGGCAATAAAAAAATAAATTTTACATAATGGAGAAGAAAAATAGTTTGTATGTAAAAGCAGTAAATGCATTACATTATCTCTTAGCAACATAATGCAATTAGCATAAAATCATCAGAAGTTATGATTTGTGATTATTTTAAGAGCACTGATCAGATTTCATCAATTCACACTGATCTATCTCTTTAATATCAGAAAAGACAAACAAGGACAAGCTCATCAATAAGAATCAGATTAAGAAACTATCCTCCATGTCACAAATGGAATGAATTCAGAAAGTGTTCTGCCATCGTAAATAGTGTAGCAAAAAAACAATTTACAGATTTAACCCTTTCACTGCTGTAGGTATATGCACCCCCTGTGCTGGGACTTTTTTTAACGAAAAAAGTTAATTTTTAAAATAATTCAAAAAAAATACTAAAAGAGGTTATTTCGAAATTCTTTTTGTGTGTTGGGGCGAGCAATAGGTTGGCCTACGCGAGGAACATTGATATTTGGTATTTTGCATAATTAGGTAGTCATGTGACCTCAAAGTCGCCATTTTGAATTTCTGTTTTTTCTCAAATTTTGATAAAAAACCCAATTTTTCTCAATGAAATTTTTATGGAATGTTTTTTTTTTTACTTTATAATGATGCAGACACACAAGATAAATAAAAACAAAAAAAAAATGAGTTAGTTTGATCGTTTTATTCCAAAACCGCAAATAATCAAAGTCTTTCTTTGAAATTGTGAAAATATAAAATTTTGCAGAAAATCACTGTTAGATGTACTTTTTGCCATACGTTTTTATTTATGCTTTATATAATCCAGGTTGTAAATATAAATGCATCGTTGCAAACATCATACGGT